ATTTATTAACAGTTAGTGGTTTTACTATTAGAAGTGCGCTCTTTTTTAAAATTGAGACAGGAACTAAATATGGACCAGAAGAGTGCGTATTTTTAAAATTATTAATTACATTTAAGACTTCTGTTTCGCTAACCGGTCTAACGAAGAAAGATTTCGGGTTTATGGAATGTAAGTACTTTTGCTCAATATCCAGTGAAGAGTGACAAAGGTCAGTTCTGTTGTTTTGTTGTGACGAAAATAGTTCTTTCGGTAAATTGATAAAATAGTTATTAAATTCATTAGATATGAGAGTCTTGTTTGTAACTTCGATTCTGTCGATAGTTATGCTGGAGACATTATTTATTTTAGATGGTTTACTATTTTTATTAATGATTTTCCACAGAGTCTTAGATTTGCAATTTGAATTTAAGATTTGTTTGTTAAATGACAGTTTCTTCGCAGTTCTTATTGTTTTTCTATACATATATTGACTTATATTTCCGGTAATAATCAGCATCAATTAAACCATACTTACTTCTTAGATGTAATTCCTTTAAATTGGTTGCTGAGATTATTAAACCTTTTGTAAGCCAGTTCTTATTGCAATCATTACTAATTTGAGGTTTGCGAGTGACTTTAAAGCTCGTTTTGAAGTAATCTTTGACTTTATTGTAGAAAAAGCAAAACTTTTTGTCAATCTCATGATTTGGATTAGGTATACACAGGTAACCACGTTTTCTGCTTTAACAAATTCAAAAATATCTCGATATTTTTATTTGAAAAAGATCGATATTCATAGTTAGTGTTTTGGTGGGGGTGAATATTCGTGAGTAATTCAACTAACTGTAACGTGTGATCTGATAATCCGTTCTCCACAACAGCTTTATTCGTAATTTGAATATCTGGATTTGCAAAAATGTAATCGATTGCAGTAGCGCTTCGTTTTGTAAATCTGGTTGCTTCAGTGAAAATGGTTTCTAAGCAGTATGAATTTGTAAGATCAAATAGAGCTGTTTTGTAAACGATTTACTGAAAGCATGATGATACACCACTGCAATTAAATAAATGATCATCAGTTAGTACCAACTTCATAATTTTTTTGATTTGCGGGAACTTCAAACTGTAATCACTTCTAATGAATCATTCGGTATAATGTTACATACTCGTACAAAACACAAACCAATTATAAAGAAATTCAAAGATTACTACCTGCAGTAAAGCTTAAGCTGCACGACGTTTTCGTGGCGAAAGTTAAAACGAAGATGTCGTTACGTGGCTAGCATTCGCAACCCTACGAATCTGAAGAATCCGACCAATCGGACAAATCAGAAGAAGAAGAAATGGAATTAACTTGAAACATCCAAGGACGAAGAATTTGAAACTGAAGCATGGGATTAATATCCATGAAATGAATGATTTTAAAGAATCTTACGAACCGATAGAAAGAAATGCGAATAATCCTATAAATTCGAAGCATCCGAAGTCGTGTTCGAAGGGTTGTAGAAATCTGTAAAATCTAGAGCGCTGGTCTAACGTTGGTGTTGCACGCCCTCTACTAACAGTCACATAAAGTAACAGACGGAATTTTGGGACCTTCGAGAACCTCTCGAACGAAACATTTTGTTCCTTGAATAATGGATTATTTAGAAAGAGTGCTTATTTTGGTCTGCTTTTCTATCCAGTTTATCATACAATGCATTTGTGTCAACATTTCCCATTGCTGTGGTCGAATTTGATACCGAGGGTAACATGTATTGTATAGTGTCATACACAAAATACAATCGTAGGCATGAGAACCCATACAAGAATTCATATAATGTCCTACACAGTTTCTGGTACAAAAACGTTAAAACATTATAAAACAGTGTTATACCGCCCTAATAAGTTTATAGGTTGGAAATTTTCAAATAATTATATACCACGGCAATTACATTTACAACTTTTCGAGTGTATCTAATTGGTTAATTTTGTATGTCGAATTTTAGGTTTGGGCTTTGGTTTGGGGTAACTGCAATTGGAAAGAAAAAACTATAATCCGTTTATTCAAGGTTCCACAATTCTATTAATCTTTAGGAAAGAGACAATCAGAATTACATTTGTAAGAACACATTTATTAGATTCGTTTTTAACAATTGATGTAGTGGTTTCCACAATATTAGTCTTGTTCCCAACTGCCGTGTCGTAGTCATAATCAAAATGAAATTTTTTGCCACTTTCAGTAGTTTGCGTCTTTTGGATCACATATGAATCGCAGTCCACATGTCTCGTCCTCTCGGCATTCTGCATGAAAATGCATTCCCATGGGTTTCCATCATGAGTCACAAAAATACCGCGTCCTAAGTGTTGAGCGATATGGCAGGGATTGAGACATTGTAGTTTATTATGTGACAAATCCAACACTTCCAACTTCTCGATGCCAGCAAATACGTGTTCGTCTACTTTCGTTAAAGTATTATTTCCCAAATACAAATGTGTCACTGAGTGTAGATCGTCGAAAAGTCCAATCTCCAGTGAGCTAATTAGATTGTTGGTTACATTCAAATATCGTAATGAGGCGAGATTGTCAAAGATGGTTAATGGGAGAGCTTTAATTTCGTTATCATTTAGTAGTAACCAAGTTAAGGATCGCAGTAGGACAAAGGCGTTAGTTGAGAGCAGTTCTACGGAATTATTAGACAGTTGGAGTACCGATAGAAATTGAAGATCACGGAAATGATCACCTATTGTTCTTAAGTGATTATTTTGAAGGTATAAATATCTTAAATTGGCCAAATTATTAAAAGTACCGGGATCTATGGAATCGATGAGATTATCGGCTAGATTTAGCGATGACAAGGATGTGGTATTCTGGAATAGACTACCCGGTATGGATCGAAGAAAATTTCTTGACACGTCAATTAAAACTACGGACACTAGGTTGTTAAAAATCATAGGTGGTAGGGTCGTCAATCGGTTGGCTTCCAGAAACAACTTTTGAAGCAACATTAAATCGTCAAAGACGTAATCTGGTATACGCTCGATAAGATTTTGAGTCAAATCCAACTGGACTAGAAGGCTGAGTTTGTTAAAGGCATCCGAAGATATGTTTCTGATCTTATTACCACCTAAATAAAGATGCTCTAGCTTTCGCATACCCTCAAAGCTCCCACTCTTGATAACTTCAATGGAATTGTTCAGCAAATACAAGTACGCAACGTTTTCCAAGTATGTCATGTTTGGTGCATACCCGATTGCATTACCATAGAGATGCACTTTGGTTAATGAATGCAAATTAATAAACGCGCTATCACTAATGTGACTAATTGAATTGTGCGACAAATCTAAAATTGAAAGGGAAGGGGTGTGTTCGAAATGTTGACCGATCGTACTAAGGGAGTTATTCTTTAAGGACAGATAAGTAAGCTTCGACAATCCCGAAAATGAAGCCTCGCTTAAATTGAGTATGCCATTATTATTCATGTCTAACGTTTCTAAATTAACAACGAATTGTAAAAATCCATCCCCAATAATTCGCAATTGATTGTTTGCAAGGTCTAGGTACTGAATGGACGGAATATTAAACTGTTCTTTAAAGATGAATTTGATCGAATTCTTCTGCAAGTGCAAAGTGGTCAGGGATGGAAGGTTTCTAACCCATCCCACTTGCAGTTCTTTAATGTTGTTCCCTTCCAAATTCAACAACTGAAGAAACACTAAATTTGTGAAAGTATCACGAGGTAACATAGCGATTTTATTGTTTCTTAAAATAAGTTGTGTCAGTGCTTTGGTATGTTTAAAATGTTTTGAAGAAATGTTATTAATTTGATTGTCGGCCAAATAAATGTTTTGGACATTGGTTAAAAACATAAATATATCATCAGGTAAACTGCGCAGGTCGTTGCTCGACATATCTAGGGTGGTTAACATATGGAGATTGACAAATGCTTTTTCTGCTATAAGATGCAGTTTGTTGTAGTTTAAATGAAGATCTGTCAAACTGTATAAATGAGCAAAATCGGCGTCCGTTAGCGACACCAACAAGTTATTAGACAAATGTAAAACGCGCAATTCTGTAAAATATGCAAGAAAATCTTCGGGAATTTCACTTAAACGATTATTATCAAATTTTAGACTTTGTGTACGCGGATGAGGTTCAGTGACATTTGTGCTCAAGATATTGAAAATAGAGAATATTTCTTTCACACCTCTAACATTGGAGATAAAGTTATTACTTAAATCTAGATCGACAACATGCGTTGGGGGCCAATTTATAATACTTGTTAGATTATTGTTCTGCAAACTGAGAATTTCCACTGTCATTGGAAAAGCAAGCAAATCGATTGTGCTTAAAGAATTTGAGGAAAGAGAAACATTTCGCACTTTTAAATTGGAAAATAAAAGCGAATGTATAAATGATATCGAATTGTCGGATAAATCTATATTTTTTAGTGCATTTAATTCAAAGAAAGTTTCCGGATGAAGGTTATCAATATAATTGTCGTAGAGTAAAATTCGTTGCAGATTTTTTAAATTACGGAATGCTCCTTCTTCAATACGCTCCACACAGTTTTCTGATAGATCTAATACTTCCAATGTCTCTAATTGATCTAATGTCTTATTTTCGATGAGTTTGATGCAGTTGTTCTGCAATCGTAGTTCTTTTAGACCATTAAACAAAGAAAATGCGTCTTCGTGAATAGTAGTAATTTCGGCATCTGTCACGTACAATTTTTCCAACTTGTTGAATCTTTGCAAGAATTTTTTGGGAATGTACTCTATGTTGCTATTTATAAACCTAATTTCTGTTACATTGGCTTCTTCGGTTTGAGCTGTGATGTTGTCCGTTTCTGTGAACGTAATGTTGTTACAATATATTGTTTCTTGATTATCTCCATTAGTAATGCAAGTGAAGGTTTTGGCGTAAGAAATCCTTGCAAATATTGCGAATATGAAGATATAACACCAAATCGCTTCCTATTAAAATCAAATTTGCTTAGGTATATCGACATGACGCGAATTTTATGTATAAGTAGGTACTTTACCTGTTCCATAAAGTGTAGAATTTGTTTAAACGTCTTATACCACGACGAGATCATGCTGACGTAAGTTGGCAGTTAGTATTTACACCTGAAAATGAAAATTGTTTATGAAATAGTAATGTGCTTGAGTTTCAGGACGTCTTGAGACTCAGGATTATTTTTAACAAAACATTTTTAAATAATTGTGAACTAACAACTAAAAACTGTACGTTAATAGGATCGATTAAGTACTTGTTTTAATGTAAGCTTTTCAAGGCTCGTAAGCTATCCTTTATGAAAAAGAAGCTAAATATACATAGAATAATGTTTACATATTAGTTCCTTAGTACATATAACTAGATTGGTCGACCGATTGCATCTAAGAATTTAACAATGTATTCACAAGCAGTAGAGACTGCCTTGCCTCTGCGAATATTCTTAATTAAATTTAATCTTTGATTGTTGTAAAGGTCATATTGCCATAAAACACGATTTCGACCCACATGAAATAATTTGACAAAAATGTGTCGACAGTTAACGCCACGTTAGTGCTCTTTAGTAGTGCTCGAAGTTTATCGTTAGTGCTGCTACATAATATGAGAAAAATTGACGGGCTCAACTTCACACTCAACTTTTATTTATTGAAATAACGAACGCACACGGCGTTAGTGATAAAACAGTAGGTATCTCAAATTCTTTCGCTGTTCCTAAAAAAGTCAAGTGTGAAATTATCCCCTCCCATGCATTTCTAATTAGATGAAACCACACGTGATTGTTAGTGCTCAGTTAGTGCTGATTTGTGCTCAAAAATTCCGATTCCAGCATTTCATATTTCCAAGAAAAACGAAAAAAATTGAAATATTTTGTGAAGTTGGCTCCACCCATAACTCGTTTAAAAAAAAAATTAATAAGATCATTAGTGCTGTTTTGTGCTCAAAGATTACGATTCCAACGTTTTTCGTTTCCAAGAAAAAAAAAATACTAAACTAATCTCTCAATCTTGTAGACCTCAAAAAGTGGCAATGAGAAAGTGTTTTTTTGTACTTCGTCAAGTACGTAACATAAGAAATAAATATAAACGAAATCGGCAAAATTCGGTGTTTCTGGCTTATCTTCGGATGTAATCGGAATTTTCTGGATTTCTAATAACTCTTTAATTCCGCATCTTATACAGGGTGAGTTTTTTTTTCATTTTAAGCATTAGGATCTCGGAAACCGTAAGAAATAGAGATTCGGTTAAATGAGGAAAGAGTTGTCGTTTTAACAGCTTATTCAAGATATGCTTTTGTTTTTTGAAAAAAATCCACGGTTCACTAGATCTTGAGCGAAAAACGGGTTTAGTGATTTTTCTTTTAGATGTTGTAGAAGCGTTAGTATTAGAAATACAGAAATATGCAAAGAACAAAAATTGTAGATTTTTTTCCGCTTAATAAGATACATTTATTAATATTTATTCTTCTTTTATAATTTTCGAGTTATAACGCAAACTTACATTTTTTTAAATGGTAATCATAGTTGGCTGTGACATTTTTAAAAAGTGCATTTTTTTCTGTTTACAGTGATATAAGTGTCATTGTACTTACTTTGACAAATAAACATGATACAGAACTGTTTGTATTATTAAGAGTAGTAAAAACAGATTTTGCCATGGGAAACATTTTTGTTCTCTTAATTACTGTCTATTATAATATTTAACTTGGAGTTAGTTGTGCGGCGGGGCACCGTTGTGTTGAAACCAGCTTAAATTACGTCGTGTTTCCAAATCTAACTCATCCTACATATTTTGAAATTCATTTGGTAGAAAATGAAGATAACATTGGCCTGTTCAATTTTCAATGTAAATGAAAGGTACCTATCTCACTAGATATTGTTTTCCAACTTTACTTACCTCTCAATATTACGAAAATTACTGCAGGGCGTTTATTTATTAAAGTACATTTAGCAAGTCTTATATCGTTATAAAAAGAAAAATTTGTCCTTTTTAAAAATGTCAAATCCAGCTATGACTACCATTAAAAAAATTAACGTTTGTATTATAACTCAAAAATTGTAGGATCTAAAAACAAATTAGTAAGTTCATGTTAAGCATTAAAATGTCTAAAACTTTTATTCGTATCATTTTGTTGTATTTCTAATAATAACGATTCTACAACAGTTAAATAAAAAATCACTAAATCTGTTTTTCGCTCATATCTAGTGAACTGTGGATTTTTTCAAAAAACAAAAGCATATCTTAAATAAGCTCTTAAAACTACAACTCTTTCCTCATTTAACCGAATCCGCATGTCTTATGGTTTCCGAGATCCCAATGCTTAAAATGAAAAAAAACTCACCCTGTATACAGTGTATTTTCTGGCAAGTTGTTTATTTGAACATTTCGCTTTAATTTATTGTGAAAATACACATTGCATTTTATGATTTTAATAACAACAATGATTTTCATTGATTTTGATTAATTATCATAAAAATAAGGCACTACTAAAATGCCCTTTGGAACTTAAAATGAGTCAAAAAACATTAAAATTTTGAATAAACAAGGAGTAAGAAGGGGTCCCGAAATCCCAGTGGCTACAATGGTCTTGCCACGCCACTGATAAAAGATTTACTGTGATAGTAGCATAGTACCAGACTTTACACTGGCACTGTATAGCATGAAGGTCGGTAAGTTCATTTTCCTCGAACTAATTTTTATTAACAAAAAACGCATTTCGTTTGCGGGCCCTCTCTGGGGATATTCATTAGGATGACAAAATTACCCTACAATCATCCCGAGTCTGTTATTCCGCGTTGCGCAGTTGTCTATATCATAGATATATATCTGTTGGGCGCAATGCCCGAAAACGGCCAATGATCGATTTTTTTGCTCAATCTTAGGATTGGGCTATTTAAAACGACCAAAGCCCGAATTTCCTTTCAATTTCGGGCTTCGGCCGTCTCCAAACAGCCAAACCTAGGATCGTGCAAATATGAAACGACCAAAGTTTAATAAATTCGGTTCCAGTGCCAGTGTGAGGTACGTATGACATTTTAAGCATTGGAGACGTAGAAACCTAGACCAATTTTGAGCAACAACGTGAACTCAAGAGTGCATCAGGTGGATCTTATATAGATATGCAAACAGAACCAGAGGAAGACTATCAATTTATTTTAAATTATCAGGACCATCTAACAAAATTAGTGTTTTTAAAACCTTTGAAATCGAAAAGAGTTACGGAGGTATCTTACAATCTTTTAGGCATTTTTTGTAGAATAGGCGCTCCCTTACATCCTCCAATGTGACAATGGAAAAGAGTTCACCGCAGGGTGTTAGGGACATTTTAGTGTCTTGGATGGCAGATACCAAGAGGACTAATTGGGCTAACGGATTTCGATTTGTTCAACTAAAAAAAATGGATCTTTTCATACAGATATAAACAGAAGTCCGCATTAGGTGATGTTTGGGGTTCCTATACGTAATGGCCTATTCGATTCAAATATACCTCGTGAGGTCCTTCAAAACATTACTAGAGAACAAGACCTGAAAAATATATCAAATAGCAATTCTAATGCAGACGTCTCTATAACAACTAAGATGAAGAGGAAGAAAATCGTGCAATATCACACAAAACCTAAAGCGTTCAAGCCAAACAAAAAGTAATATTTCAACTGTTAAAGTAAAAAAAAATTAATAAAATTTTAAATAAATTACTAATTATATTTTATATATTCACGAAAATGTTTTTTACAGTGTACCTGCACACCTGAAAAACCTTGTATGATTTGCAAATTTTTAATTATTTTTTTTAATAAAATCAAAATAAAAAATTGTACATAAAAAAGAGGGGTTGGTTTTTAAAGTGTTAATGTGATTTTAGAAGGGGGATAGGCAAAACTGTTATATAAAGGGAAGGGGCGGGGATCAAAATTTCGAAATAAGTGCGTTACATCATTTATGGGTTGCCTCTCCAAAAATTTTGAATGTTACTGAATTTCTATTGAGTCACTAAAAATGTGTGTTAGCTTTGGTTATTTCCTAATTACTCAATCTTAGGTTTGGCTGCTTCAGGACGACCAAAGCCCGCAATTGAATTAGAATTCGAGCTTTGGCCATTTTAAATAGTCCAATGCTAAAATTGAGCAAAAAAACGACCATTGGCCTTTTTCGGGCTTTGCGCCCAACATATCTATGCATATAAAAAATTTCAGGAAATTTTAAAAATGCTGTAACTTTTGACCGGTTAACGTTAATTTGGGAAAGCGCTAATTTTTCAAAAATTTCCGACTTTCCGAAGCTTATGTCTCGGAAACGGTTGAGAATTTCGAAAAAGTATATATAATCAATATTGTACACAATTTTATGAGTTTTCATTATGCTAATAGGCAATTTTTTCCTACGACGCATCGTTTTTCAGATGTCAGCGAAAAACCGAAAATGTTGACCTTTGTGCCTCTCCTCCCGGGAAGGCTCCAGTCGGAATCCTGGGGACTTTCAGTATGATTAGTGGTTACCTCCTATGTGGTCCAAACAAGGTTCTTAAGTCGAAACTTCCGCTTCCAGCCATACCGGGCACACCCCCTTTGAGCACTCGTAACCTGGACTACTGTGACATACCTACAGTGTAAAAGCCAAGTAGTAATAACATCAGTATATTTTGTCAACCTACTTCCCAGTAATGGGGTGGTAGAACTGATAGAACATCGTGAGAAAAAGAATAAGCACCTTATTATCGGGTGTGTCTCAAATGCTCACCATACTACATGGAGGAGAACTTCAACCCTACTAACCTAGACATTCTCAGTCAGGGCAACGATAGCGAACCCGAAACCAGACTGTGATTCATTCGAGTCTGGCATCATCGAGTATCTCTGACCATATAACAAACTGGCAAGCCACACCAGAAGCGATTATGTCAAATCAAACAATAATTTCTTTTGAAATTAATTGCAAGGGATCAGTCCAAAAGGGTTATCGCAACCCCAGATTGAGAGGCTTATAAAGTAAACCTAAGGCTATATAAGGATATTAGAAGGCGTCAAAGAGAGGCATGAAAGAGTTATTATAATTTCAATTTTTATACGACGAGGCCTAATGTGCTTGTAAATTACAAGATGATATGTGTTTGGCTGGTGTTGCGGTTCACAATAATGAAACCACCGAGTATATTCGATTGAATATATTTGGTAACCAGACGAGAACTGTATACAGAATGAAAATGAAGCTTCTTAAAAATGTTTTTTGGACCTTTTTACCTGCTAGGGCAGGAGGTTGAAATATAAAGTGAATGAAAATATCAAAATAAAAATATAAAGAAAATTTATACAGTTAATTCTATAGGTACGCTGCAATTAGAAATAAAATAACAATCTTAAGAAGAATATAAGTAAAAATATCCAAGTCTATCGTGCATTGATAATAATACTAATACAAGAACTTATATACATGCAAACGGTGAACACAATAACAGCCTTAACCTAATAAATGAATTAAATTAACTCAGTGCACATTTTATCTTGTGTTTTGTAGCCATTAGTGGTAGAGCACATATTTTGTTAATGGCACGTTTCACTATACCATACCACCCTTGATTTTAACCGAAACTACACACACCTTTTTACTGGGCCACTGCGTAACTCTGCGACTCGTCCACAGAACCATTGCAGTGGAAGAAGGTTTTCTGGGTTGTGTTTCGCAATCTTCTATTTGGTTCGTTGTTGTAGATGGTTCAGACGTTTCCAGCGTTTCCAATAATGCTGTTTCACTTGTGCTAACTGCCATCGTGATAACGTATTCATTTTGAACAGTTTAACATCTGTTTCTATTGGTACGACAAGTAGGTAAGTCTCCAATAGGGAAGTGGCTTGGGGATAAGGCTCTTAAGTCATTAGGGTCGTAAAAGGATTATTTGTCGGGAATTTATACACCCCTCAACTCCCGTCAGAACTGTGTACATCTCCTCAAAGGTAAGGTTCGCGTTGCCTACTATTCGTTTTAAGTTTGTTTGACTTAGTCGCTTTCCAAAGACCACCTTCATGTGGCGTCTTTTGTTGAATAAAGTGCCAATTGATATTTTGTGTTCCAAAATTTAATACAAGTGAGTTTTTTAACGCTCAATAGTTTTTGAAATTCGCGTTTTGCTCTTACCAAACTCGTTCCGTTGTCGGACTATGAAATCGGTTACGTCAAGTTTGCGCGAAATCACCCAAGAAACGACTCTGTGGTCAAATCTCCAACTAATTCCAGATGAATCGACTTGCTGGCCATACAAACAAACAACTAAATGTGACATTTAACTAGCCTTTTCCTTCGCCCCTTGCCCTCCTTTAATGATAACGGACCAGCATAATCAACTCCGCAGCGAATGAACGGTCGTGCGGACATAACGCGAACAATGGGGAAGTTAACCATAAATTATTCGAAGGCAACAGGATTTACTTTGTAACATTTCACGCATTGTTTGAGTACATTTTTAACCTGATCTATTCCTGCAATGGGCCAATACTTTCTTCTAATCGAGCATACAGTCGTCAATTGACCAGCATGTATTTGTTCTTACGGATCAATGCGCCCGCAGATTATGTTTTGATATTTGACTCAAAGGGTAGATTGGGATCACCATTTCTTTTCTTAAAATGTCAGATTGCTTTGGAGCTTCAACGTTAGGAATTCTTAACAATTCTGGCCCATGCCACAGATGGAATTTCGGAAATTCGCTGTGTAAAGTACTACGTGAAGTAATGTCAGGAATTCCACATCTCAGTATTCACTAGAATCTTTGAGACGCGGTTTGCAACGAAAGTTCTTTAACCTATGAGGAGTATTTATCCAAGCCAACAGCACGATAGTCGAGTCGGTGTATGATTTGATCTGGCTAAATTCTATGTTTATCGCGTGTATGATTTTATTAACTAAGCGGGATCGTTATAGTTTTGAGCGAGGCGACGATAGTGATAATTAGAAATTGATTTTATGTACAGGGTAGGCCCTTAGTGCGTGGGTGGAAGTTTATTAAGGCACATATTTAAAATTCACTGAAGGACTAACCTAAAATTTTTTCAACGAAATTGCATATGTTATACAGGGTGATTTATATCAAAGTTGCATTTTTTAAATAGAACCCCCTGTATATTATTGCGAATGTCGATTAGTTGGACAATTTTAGTGGGACTATGCATTACGTATGATATTTAAACTGAGTGGTTGAGCCGCAAATCGTCATGTCTAGTAAAACAATGAGTATCGTAGTTATCGTAAAACTTCCATTAAAAAAATTAAGTTACGTCAAATTGAAATGTTGAAAATTGACGGAGTAATTTCTTTTAACACAAAATAGTTTTACTTTGATCGTTCGGCGTATATGTTAGTACATTTCATGATCAGTAACAATACAGAGTCACGGGCTTCTAAGTCTTATGGTAACTGCGATATTCATTTTTTTACTGGACATCTAATTTTTCGAAAAAAAAATGACGATTTGCGGCTCAACGACTCATTTTAAATATCATTAAAGTCACAAAAATGTGCAATAATATGCAGGGCATTCTATTTAAAAAATGCAACTGTGATATAAATCACCCTGTATAACAGTTGCCCTGTCGATGAATTTTGCGGCAATCTTCTACCCACGCACTAATGGCCCGCCACTAATGATCTCCCATGTGTATTGAGCGTGTAGGTGCTTAAAAATTGATTTTCTCACTGAGTTCACTTCACTTCCTCTAATTCCCAAAAGCGTTTGATATTGTGATTGAGCCGAGGCTTACAATACTGTTTGTACGATCATTTAAGGGGTATGGTAATAAGACATTCCCGCCAAGTATCCAGCCTAAGTGGGTGTTTTGAAGCGTTGGTTGGTTGTCAATTTTGAATTGACCGTCACGTAAGAGAGACCAATAGATCTCCGCTCCTAACAGTAAATCGATAGTGGACGATTTGTTAAAGTTATTATCCGCTAATTTGATTCCCGATGGAATATTGAACAAACTGCGATCAAGATCAAAACTCGGTATTGGTTCTGTAATTTTAGGTAATACTACGCAGTTGATATTTGATTTAAAGTTGTTATGTTTTGATTTGATGGTAACGTTTACTAGTTTATCCACGGACAGTGCGTTTTGATTGATGATGCTAATAATTTTCCAATCAATGTGAGTCGAGGGTAATTGTAACTTGTTCGCGAGATCATTTGTAATGAAATTTGAATGGCTAGCTGTAACTAATACAGCTCTGCATGTGTGAAATTGGCCTGCAGCATCTAAAATTTGCAAACACGCAGTTGATAAAAGCGTGTACACATTTGAGTTCAATTCTTCTCGAACATCACTCCACGTGGCTATATTTGATTCTTGTGGGTTTGCGCTAGTAGAGGGTTTTTTACCGTGAAATAGTGTACTATGTTTTTTATTGCAATGTTTACATCCACTGGACCTACAATTCATGCTACTATGACCTTTCCGTAAGCAATTAGTGCAGAGTTTTAAACGTCTTGCTTCCTGGAAGGCATTTTCCGCTGTTAGTTCTTTAAATATTTCACACGAGTATATGAAATGGGATTGGTTGCAATAAGAACACTCAATTTGGCTAGGATTCTGTACTGAGAGCGCCCCATTATTTACGTAACGTTGATATGTAGGTTTTGAGCCTTGATTAGAGCTTATTTTGCTTCCAACTTGTAACGACTCTAACGATTCGCACTTATGCTTTAAAAAATCAATCAGGTCAGATAATGCTGGAATATCTGTGGTAATGTTCTCTTCCCAATCCCGGGCGGTAATATAATCTAGTTTACTAACAACCAAGTAAATAATTAAAGCATCCCATTGCTCGGTGGGTAACCCTAAACTATGTAAAACCTTTAGATTTAACGATATCGTATTAATTAATTGGCGCATTGCAGTGGAATTATACTTTGTAACGGTAGGTAACGCAAATAACGCGCTTACGTGATTTTTAATTATTAATTCTTTGTTATGGTAACGTTCGACTAGTAAATCCCATGCAATCGAGTAATTTTCGAATGTTGTGGCTAGCGAATCTACTAGTTTAGCTGCTTCGTCTTTTAAACAGGATTTTAAACAGTGAAATTTTTGAATATCTGTGATGGTTTGGTCATTATGAATTAAAGTTTTGAAAGTTTCGTAGAAGGGCAACCAGTGGTCGTAGTTACCGTTAAAGGATGGCAAATCTCTAGCAGGTAGTTTAAAGGTGCCATTGTTTTCGAATTTAGTGGAATTATTTTGGGTTTGAAGTAAATTGGTAACCGGTTCTAAGCATTCTTTCGCCATCGCAACGAGTTTGTAATATTCATTTTCGAAACTTTCTCTTTCTTGCTGAGCTAACTCATCGGTATTTGTATTTATTTCGCACAAAATATCAATTTGATCTTGTAAAATGTTAAATTCGTCTAAAATTCCCACTATCTTATCGAGTCTTATTTTTAGTTCTGCTACTTTTGAACTGTCGTATGAATTTATAAACGTGGAAAATCTCCTTAATTGGCCTTTTATAGTACCGCGTTTGGCAATTAATAATTTTAATTCCGCCATTTTGAGAAGATGTATACAGAATGTGCACGTGAAATCAAGATGTGAACTTGTAATAGAGGATGTATGTAACAATAAAGGAAGGAGACTTACGTTAATATCGTGAATGCTGTGTCGAGGGATGATTAATTCTTCTTTCGATGATTGCACTGGTATTTACTACAATGATTTAGTAAACTTGAACTAATGCCACGCTTGAAGGACAATGTTGCGCAGTTCACAATAATGACGATTGAATATGTTTGGTGTTAACCAGACGAGAACTGTATACAGAATGACAATGAATATTAAATGTTAAAATGCGTCTACCTGCTAAAGCAGGGGGTTTAGTTTAGTTGGGGTACGCGCCAACAGTTGGCTAGGTTGGCTTTTACCCTCATTCCGTTTCAAGTAAATGACAACCTCCCCTCCCTTGCCCTTCAATGTAATCAAATTGACCGTTATTTCGGAAGGTCAAGGGTACTTTAAGCACACTCGTAAAACTAAGCCGGGGACATATTCAAGTTAGTCTCATATTTTTGATTTCTTATAGAGGAGTACATTCAAGGTTGATGCACTTCAAAGTATTTGGCCAGAGGCTCCTGAGGACCAAGTTGACAATCGCAATGTAACCCCCGAAACAGTGCAGCTCTTCACTACGTTTACATAATTACATTGCATGGTTGAAGGTTTATACTCGGGTTTACATAACTACCAGAAACTTTCTAAAATTAGTAGATTACTCACGTCCCGATAGGATAGTAGGTACTTAGTTACTGAACCTTCATTAGTTTAATATTGTAATTGTACATTGATATCATAACCATTCCCGTCCTGCAATTTTTATTTAGACATTGATTACAATTAGGAGGCGAGCGAAATGTTAAAAAAAACCTAGCCTAGGTACATACCATTGCCTGCACGTAGAGCACAGAATTATACGTATGGAATGTGAGTGTTTGGACTAAAACTTATTAATTATAAATCTGTATATTATTTTGATATGGAAAAACCACAAGTATGACTAATACCAACACAAACGATTTTAGGATGGTCAAGAACGATAAAAATTACCTACTCAATATTTAATGAGTTCTTTGAGATTTGCAGCGGGTTAGTTGCATTATTTACCTCGATTTACCTTTTACAGTTCAGAGAGGTAAGAATTTTTCATCCGTAGCAGAGATGGGAATTTGCTTAGATGTAGATCGGGTTCGAGCATTCTGCCGGCTACTTCGAATTAGGTTTTCCTGCAGTTTTTCTAATTCGCACGGTCATCATTAACCGGAGTAGTATATAGAACAACTTAAGACCTTCTGCAGGGGCATCTCCCACTGCTTTGATCTCCAAGCACAGAAACAGAAGTGCAATATAATTTACAACTGTTGTGAAGGATTTGGGCGGTTATTATCATTTTTAGGGAAGGACTTTTTCACAAATGTTTACGTTTTGCGAATTTTGCATAAAACGCGTCGTAGTAACGTTCATTTAATTTTCGAATTTAGTAGTGTTTGAGGTAGTGCCAGAACTAAATGATCTGTGAAGATGGCAACGTCTAATCAGCCTATGGAACGGGCTAAAAAGCGCCAACATAATTTGTTTAAGGTTCCTCACCTTTGCAACAGACAAACCACAAGGAATACGTATATGCTGATTTTAAGAATTTGTCACCTAGTGACTATTGGAAGAGAGTTATCTATATTCCAATTCTTAACAATTTAATAGTTGACCTAAAATCTCGTTTTGGAAAAAAAAAATTGTCAAATTTAAGCTTAAATCGAGGTTTAAATATATTAATAGGTACTCCATGCTCTTCAGGTCGTCACCGATGATAACGTTTTAATAATAGGTAAATGAGTATGGAGATCTGCTAAATAACCCGTCGTTAGCACAACTTCTGGGTGAAGTGCAGCTTTATAAACAGAGTTTTTGCACCATGGACATTGTCTACGATAATGCATTACAAGCTCTTCAAAATTGTGACGAAATTTATTATCCTACCATTAAGAAACTTTTACAAATGTATGTGCACTTTTATAATTTCTGTTGCAACCATTGAAAGGAGTTTCTCAAGCCTTAGATTGTTAAAAAGTTATTTGAGATCCAAAATTGTATGCGCCCCTCTCTAGACCAAATCCTAAATCCGCCACTGGTGGTTAACAATCTAAGTTTTCGACCTCCCACCCCTTGTGCTTCCCCCGTACCACCCCCAAAACCCCTGAAATTTGGTTGGTTTCTTAGTTTTTCAATCATGTCTTTTTAATGGTTCACTTTAGAAAAAAATATTGTTATCAGAAATTGTAGACCATAAAATTTTACATAACTTTGATACACTACTTTTTTGTGAAATGTTTATTAAAAAAGATATAGAGTTTGAGAGTTGGTTATATTTTGAAGAATTCTGAAATTTCTATGTAGATGTTTTAACCAAATTTCATACTTTATCTCTATAATTAAGAGTTTTATGAGAAAATATCTTGAATTTATTGTGGTATAAATCCCTCTACCCTGCACCCTTACCAAAGGGGATGCATAATAATGAAACTTGCAACCTTTGCTAGTGAGGATAGGTATTTGAATAACTGTGAGATAGTAGCGCTTTCTAATATACTTTTGAAATTAAAAAATTGTCTCACTTCAGTTCAGTGGCGATAATAATAATAATAATAATAATAAAGTTTATTTGAGCTTTAAGAATAAAACAAAACAAAAATAAAACAAAAATACAACAACAAAAAAGAAAAAATAGCCCAAAAAAGGAATGAATTCGGCAATGCCGATTGTGAAGTTAGTCAGAGAGTACAACGCAGTTGGGGTTACTCATTATAAACAATAGTAAACGTAAATAATTAGTTCTTAAATTGATCTCGAAGAAATGTCTAAAATATCATATTATCCATGTAACCGAGACTTCGCATTAATTCTGGCCAATGAAATTACTAGATTACTAACTTGTAAAATTTTTACAGGTCAGCTGTCAGTTTTACAAGTCATGGAATGTTCGGGTTTGAAGCATTAGCTTTTTCTCACAACTTGTTTCCTAATCTTCCCGACTAGTAGGTAGATATAATTAGGAACTTGTTTGCGTAATTTTAGTAATTGCAAGAATATTTGCTAAATTGCTGAGAAAAAACTTTCTGAACATTTTCTTTTAAATAAACCGGTACATAAGCTGATGCAAAACTTGCGACAATCGGTGTGTAAATATATACGAACAGATTTCCTTGGACAGGTTTACTGTTAGCAGTAGTAGTAGGTGCACAAATACTTAAAATAATGAAATCTGTTTTTTACTCACGTTTAAAATAAAATTGCAAGATTACTTGTGGGAGTTCAACAATGAACCAGTGGCACTTATTTGGTGTAATCACGTACGTCTAGGAATAGAAGGAGCTATGGAACTACAATATGATCACAAGTTCTGTTCAGATTAATTTACGTTTTTAGACAAGGAAAAACCACAATATGCGAATATGTAATGACTAATCATTATAAGTTACTCTCGGAACCAGAAAATTTCCACTTATAAAACAATGTTAGTATAGGGTCTAGTACATTTATGTGCACGAAATTAATTTTTATCCATCCTCATCTATCTCTATTTTTTATAATAGAATGGTAAAATACACTAGCAGTTGGCCCTTGGAATAATTCAGAATTGTGTTTTAACAGAAGTATGTGTAAGTACTTGATATTTTGCTATTACATATTCTTAATTTAACAGAAATCCTTGGAATTTTTGTGCGTTGTTCATCGTTCCAACAACCGCTACAATATGCGTAGTCACAGTTGCCTATTGATCAGCATAGAAGGTAAGTAATAAAAAAAAACATCTTTGAGTTTGAATATAAAAATGTCAATGGTCAAAATCGGCATTGGGAAATCCTTATAATTGGAGGAGTAATGCTTACTACGGAGACGATTGGCTCCGTTAACTTAGCACCACCATTTCAAATTTCTGACTAAAGACAGATTGCGCTAGAATCTCTATGGCTAGCGCCAGCTAGCGCCACTTTGAGTTCAGCTAGCGCCATTATAGATTTTGCAGAAAAGCCCTTGACTTTCGGGGGGTGCTATGTTAACGCTAGCACCACCATTGCGTCCGATCACTTCCAAAAGCAAGCGCTGTGTTCGTCAGGCCTAGCGCCAGCTAGCGCCACAAATTGTAGAGCTAGCGCCACCCCCCAATAGTGAGGGGAGCAATTTTTCCTAGCACCACCATTTTGTCTTTTTATGTAAAATTTTGACGTTTTGTGTTCTGCTGACCTAGCGCCAGCTAGCGCCACTTTGAGTTCAACTCGTGCCATTATAGGTTTTGCAAAAAAGCCTTTGACTTTCGGGGGGTGCTATATTAACGCTAGCACCACCATTGCGTACGATCATTTCCAAAAGCAAGCGCTGTGTTCGTCAGACCTAGCGCCAGCTAGCGCCACAAATTTTAGAGCTAGCGCCACCCCCCAATAGGGTGAGGGGCAATTTTTCCTAGCACCACCATTTTGTCTTTTCGTGTAAAATTTTTACGTTTGGTGCTCTGCTGACCTAGCGCCGGCTAGCGCCACTTATTTTAGAGCTAGTTTTATAATTTTGCGGTGTCTGTCCGTCTGTCCGTTAGCACGATATCTCGATAACGAATTGACAGATTACGATGAAATGGATGGATTCTTTATCAAATTTGTAGATCGGAGTTGGTGAATTGGCAATATAGCCCAAAAAATAAGGAAGGTTCTTTTGACGTCTCTGTGAGTTATGAACCGAATTCTATGAAATTCAATATGCGTATAGCTTTAGCCATATAAAACGCAATTTCAAAAGTTGAGCCTAATCGATCAACATTCACAGTGCCCTTTTCGCATCTCGACCATTTACAAACTGGAATGAAAACTTTCTTATTTATGGAAGCATTTAAAAGAAATTTGATACATAGCAACTTGGAATAAAAGCAAATTTAACGCCAGTTTCAAAATTTGGTTTTGTGCATGATGTGCGGTGCCAATTTTCTTATTTATGGAAGCAATTAAATGAAATTTCATACATATACACTTTAAATAAAAGCAAAACTACCACCAAGTTCAAAATTTGGTTTTGCACATGCTGTAGCCAGGAGCTCGTTTTCTATATTTATTTACACGTCGATGCAAAAAGGGAACTGTGACTGTTGATAGATTAGGCACAACTTTTGGAATTGCGTGTTATATCGCTACAGCTATACGCATATTGAATTTCATGCAATTCGGTTCAAAACCCACGCAGATGTCAAAAGGGCCTTCCTTATTTTTTGCGCTATATTGCCAATTCACGAACTTCGATCTACAAATTTGATAAAGAATCCAACTACAACATTTCATCGTAATCGATCCATTCGTTATCGGGATATTGTGGTAACGGACAG